CTTCGAGCGCTAACTTTCATCAACGCTGCGTTACATACACGAAATTAAAACTGGTAATGGTTTTCAAGTTCTGGGAGACTTCACTTACATATTTTCACACTAGTGCCATCTAGGCAAAAACTTATGCGTTACTTTTATTTCATGTACCAAAATACAACATCAAATTCATCCGAATAATTTATCAAAATTATTTTTCTTTGCCATATTAAAGTAGAGGAATTCGATTTTTTCAGTAAATTCAAAGAAAGTTTGAAAAAGTATTATTATTGTAATACCTACAAATGAAGATAATCAGCTCTAATTTCCTAAGTAAATATACCGCGATATGGAAAACATGCTACTGCATATAATAATAAATGTTAACCATAACTGCAATTTTTTTTATTACTAGAATATTTTTCATAAGAAGCAAAAGTCAGATGTTGACAGTCACCAGTCATAGCCACAGATGTTTGTTTTTTTTGTTGTTGTTTTTTTTCACCAAAGATAGTGAAGAGGTGGTTGGGCATTCATTGTTTCGTGGAGCAACAGCATCCTGCATATGGATGGTGAAGCATCCAATATGTTCATAAAGCAAGAAGTCTTTTGAATAGCTGAAAGCAACGAACCGCAATTACATAGTCACACCAACATAATATTTCGACTGACTCGCATAAAATTAAAATTAGTTGGTCCTGAAGTAGATGCTGAAAGCAAAGCAGATGTATGGTAAGGCCGTCACCTGGATGTATGTGCAAAGCCATGCGGGGATAAGGCTAAACGATGAAGCTGGGAAGAGAAGTCCTTTTATCAGATCCGACACAACTCTATTGACAGGACATCAATCTTCACTGCACTCGTAAGGTGAAAGCAGTAACCATGGAAGGTCTTCAATGACAGGTGGAATGAGACTGCTGTAAAACAAAGTCCCATAAGCTGTAGCTAGGAAAATCAAAAGGAAGGGAATCAACAGGGCAATATACAGCCAGAAAGCCACTGTTACCACCAAGGAATAAAATAACTCTTTTTCTATCTTCTACAAGTCAACCATTCTCACCATGAAGTATCAGCACCTATCGACGCAACTCCTGGGATTGTGACCAATTATTCAACTCAACTGGACTACCGGAAGCTGCCTCTGGACAAGAGCAAAATTAGAGTTTAAATGGCTCAAGCATCATTTTTCAGCTGGTCAGTTCTGTGGATTTTCTTACAGAAATATCTAATCTTGACGGAAATTGGGAGGGTAAGAAAATCAACATAACATATTTGTTAATAATGGTGTATGCACATTAATTGGAGAAAATGTGGGGGCACGTGTCCCTTCTGCCATATGTGATAGGCGCCTGTGTTTTCTTATAGATTGTAAACATATTGTTGCGTATCTGCTCGTTTGTTAATTTCCGGTATAAATTATTTCCGAGGAACTTCAGCGATACAAGTCCTTTCTTAATTAAAATTAGTTTATTCTTTCTCGATACAACTTTGTAATACACAGAATTTCCACAGTCACTTTAAACTTAACAACTTTTATAAACACACGCTATAATTCACAGGGATTCACACACTTTACTTACGGTTTGACTCGATTATCTCTATCTATGCCTATCTCTACAATTCTATCTCGCTTTATTTGCCGGGCTTATATACTAAAAAAGAGGGCGCCTGGAACAGACTTGAGTTGCCTGGACAATTCAGGATCCTTCGAAAATATCATCACGTGTTACCAGCGTCACGTGACTTCCGCTGTCGTAACAATATTTTAAATTCGAATTTACGCCATCATATGGTGAAGAAAACTCAAGTGCTAGGCTTAAGTAAAAATCTAAATAACCTCAAACACTTTCGCTATAACAGTAGAAAAATGATTTATACTTAAAAGCTCAGGGACAAGAAGAGTGTTAAAACTGTTTCGTTAGCTACACGCTGTTATTCTTTCAACACATATATATCTCATAATAAATGTTTTGAAACTCGAAACTAAATATACTGGAAAAAAAAACAGCCATTTGTGTATCAAAACTTGCTTGTTTTAATGAGTAATTATAGTAATTTTTTGAGAAAACAAGAGGGAATCCTCAATAGCCGAGAGTAAATTAATCTATGAGACCTTTATTTTCCTTTTTATTAGCTATATTTTTGTGCGTCAGCAATACCAAACGTGGGTCACATGTATACCCCATTCGATTTTATACTCATCAAGATCTTTACCAG